GATTCACGAAAGCTCCGGCGGTGTCCTGAATGACAACAAGGTCAGCCGTTCGAAGCCACCAAGCTGTCTGTTCCTGTAAAGAGCGGCAGCCGCTGAAGCTCCCACCGGGGAAGTTCGACTCTGTCCCACCAGGTTGCTAGGAGCCGAAAGAGACTCCGTGTTGGGAAGTTTGTTTTTTGGGGGGTTTGGGGGAGGAAGCCGGCCCCTCTGCCCTGTTCAAAGACGGCGGCCGACCGCGGTGCTGTGAACGAGCGTCGCTGTTCAGGACGGATTCGACGGCAGTCGGGGGTGAGGTTCACCAAGTCTGCCTGCTCCTGGGACTCCCACTGGCTCACAACAAGCACTCAGCCGCTACCTGCGAGGGGGCTGAGTGTTGGTGCCCAGCCAGTGGTTACGCCGGGCACAGACACGGAGGAGCTCCACTCTTGTTGCACGAGGCCACGGCAGCTCACGGCACACGGCCACACCACCAGACAGCCCCCCTCCACGCAGCCAAGTCTGTTCCCCGGCCTCCTCGCATGACTTCCCGGGGCCTGGCTGAGCCTGGCGCAGCTCTCCGGGATTTAGAAACGGAAGTGACGGTTCCAGGGGCGCCTTGCTAGACGGTATAGTTCTTGGCCATCAAGCCTGTTAAATTGGATCAAGTCCTCCTTCGGAGCAGAAAAGGGGATTACGGGAAATCGCCCAGACCACAGACCCCATCGGGAGTCACAACAACCCAGCACAAAGGGGGAAATAGGAACAGGAAGGGGGGGAGCACGTGGGGTCACCGGCGGCACGGTGAGAGGGGCCTTCTAACGGCCAGTTGACGCGGCATGTGGTGGGAATGGTGCTCGGGGAGGCCAGAATGTGCTCTGAAAACCGTTACACAATGAAAGTTTAAACAAAAAACCCATCCCGCAGAACTCCCCTGCACGGGAGGCAGGAAAACGTACAACGGTGCAGCCAACGGCGAGCAGAAGCATGGAGCCCCCCGGTAAATGGGAAGACAGGAGCATGTCTGTCTTGTCGGGTAAAGCGGACGGTCGCCAGACGCAAGACAAGCCTCCAGGAGACGGGCTCATTTCTGCACAAAGGGCTAAGCTCTCTCCCAGGAGCTCAGGGACGGGGCGAGTGGAGGTGATGATGTTTCTTCCTGGTGTGTATAGCAAACAACTTCTCTTGCACATGTTTTTGAGCTGTGGGACCTATAAAGCCCACCCGCATTTCCCACCTCCAGGGTTTAGAGGGATGCTGCTGTCCCACCGCCATGCAGTGTGCTTGTCTCGCATGCTCCCTAAACCCTCCAGACAGCGG